TACCCGCCTAGACGAATTGGAGCCTATGCCTCCAGCACCCCCAGATGAGGCTGGTACTGCCCCTGTCACGCCCTGGCTGAGCCTGACATTGCGCCCCCCTCACCTCCGGCTAAGTGTGACACTGTGCCCCCAAAGTCCCCCGGCTGAGTGTGACTCTGCACCCCATCAACCCTCGGCTGAGTCAGAACCTGCGCCCCATCACCCCAAAGGGATTTCCACACTCCCACAAATGTTCTGAGCGTCCCGTCACCGCCCCCACCTGGCCAGACGCGGGAGCCGGGTTCTTAGCGCTGTCAGAAGAACCAGCCTGCTGTGAGACACAGGGCAGCTCCTCTGGTCCCTCGGAGCAACCCCAGCATCCTACTTGCCGGCCGGAATACATATACCTAGGTCTTCCCACGCCCCCTGCCTTCGCCACTCTAAAGTGGCGGCCGCTTGCAGAGGTGGCGCTGAAAGCCACGCCCCAGCCCACTCCAGTGCCAAAATACCGCTCTGTGGACACCGGCACCCGGCCCAGAGCTGCCCTGCAGCCGCCACCCCGCCCCATTGCTGGCGCTGCTCTCACAGAGGAAAAGCCTTGGCTCTGGATGAGGGCGCGGCCCGGGCTAGATCACTCAGACCCACGAGGTCCCAAGCTAGTGACAGCTGCAGGACTGCCAAATCAGGGCCGTTGTCATCCTCAGTTAAATTGGGAATTGGAAGTTTTTCATCTAGGAAACTTTTTCAGTGAATACTGTACAGGTAGGATGGTTTAGTTTTCAGGGTTGTTCATTACCCTCCCCGCCAAACTCAGTCGTGTAACCGAGCCACACCCGGCATTGAAGGGGAATCCCCTATTTCGAGAGTATTCGTTCAGGACTTCATATAAGGAATTACTGTTTCCAAATCTTGGCTGATGATCAGTATCCCCTGGGGCACTTCGAAAAAAATTGGATTGCCAGACATCGCCCAATCTCCTGAATCAGAGGTATGGGGAATATGTAAGTTTGGGAAACAGGGCTAGAATGCATCCTCTAATGAACTGAGACCTTAGAAAGATGCCTCCAAAACAGCAACACGGGCTAGTGCTGAGATCTTACAGAAACTTCACCCATCTGCCTTTTGGAGCCACCGTCCAGTCTGGGAGGGGGAAGAAGAGAGGAAAGGTTTTCAAAACAAGGAAGATGGTTTTGAATGACAAGCTGGAAGGGACAAAAGACTGTTCCCGTGGTCCAAAGGTGAAATGTTTAGGCCTGGGCTTAATAAAGACAGAACTGTGTCACCCATTTGCTAGGCTGAAAAATATTCCCTTCCCAAAAATATCAGGTTCTGAATCCTGGAACTTGTACGTGTTACCTTATGTAGATAGAAAGAGGGTCTTTGCATATGTGATTCAATTAAGGGTCTTCTTGAATTGGGGAGATAATTCTGGATGATCAAGATGGGTCCTAACTGCAGTCACATGTACTCTTATGAGAGGAAGGGGGGTGGTTAGCACACACCGGGGAGGGATGGCCATGCCACTGTGGATGTAGAGATTGAAGTGATGCCTTTACAAGTTCAGGAATGCCAGCATAGAGGCAAGGATTCTCCCCTAGAACCTCTGAAGGGAGCAAGGCCCTGCTGACACTTTGATTTTGGCCCAGTGAAACTGAGTTTGGTCTTCTGCTTCCAGAAGTGTGAAAGAGTAAACTTCTCTTGAAGCCATACCACATTTGGGTGATGTGTTGCAGCATAGGAGGCCTGTGCTAGGCCAACTTTATATTAAAAATATCCATCTTTTGAATCTTTATTAAGTGCCAGGCACTTTGCTTGGAGTTAGGATATGTTATGGGTTATGTTGTCTAATTAAATCCTCCCAATAATTATTATTTCCATTTTTGGGTTTTTTTTTTTTTTTTTTTTGAGATGGAGTCGTGCTCTGTTGCCCAGGCTGGAGTGTAGTGGCATAATCTCGGCTCACTGCAACCTCCACCTCCTGGGTTCAAGTAATTCTTCTGCCTCAGCCTCCTGAGTAGCTGGGATTACAGGCATGCACCACCATGCCTGGCTGATTTTTGTATTTCTAGTAGAGACGGGATTCCACCATGTTGGTCAGGCTGGTCTCAAACTCCTGACCTCGTGATCCACCCACCTCGGCCTCCCAAAGTGCTGGGATTACAAGTGTGAGCCACCACACCCGGCCTATTTCGGTTTTAAAGATGGAACACTAGGACTTGAAAGTTTAAAGTGTCTGCCCAAAGCCACACAGCAAGAACCTCTTGAAATCAAGTCTGCAAACCACTCAAATGTTAAAAATAACAATTAAAAATTCATATGCATTATTTTAATAAAATTTTTTGTTTAATAAAGGGCTTATTTATTTCCACAATCTATATTTATTGCCCAAATCAATGGAAACGGATGTTGATTGACAGTAGGCAAGTGGGGAGGAGGGGCATAGGGGATCTCTTTATACCTGCTGCTCAGTTTTCTTGTGAACCTAAAACTGCTCTAAAAAATAAAGTCTATTAACAACAACAAAAAAGTGTAGGGGGATTGAATCTGTTGTGTGGCCTATCGTTGAGAATTTTATAAACTTTTGTTTTTAGATGTTTATGGAACATAAAAACATCAAAGGAAACTGATGTGAAAGGAAGTTAAGAAGCAAACCAACAAAGTAAGAGGACACAGACTCTCTGATCAATGGGAGTGCTGCTGCAGAATGGCTTCTCAGGGAAGCACGCTCTGAGACAGTGACAGGATGTTTCACCTTCGGGGAACAGGCAGGAAGCAGGGGGTACTAAGGGAGGAGCTGGGTTGCCATGTGCACCTAATAGCTTTCATTTACCCCACTGGGGGATCTGGGGCATGGCCTATTGGAATTATTGAGCCTAAATGGCTGGACCATTAGATACCCTCCTGAATCAGTCATTGGATGCTGTCCATCCTGGGAAGTGACATGACCTTGGCCAAGGTGACCCTGCTAAGGCAGTCTCTGAAAGGGCCAGCTGCTGACAGCACCCAGAGCTGGACAGCCAGTCCTTCTTTGCAAGCAAATCTGGGCAGTGTATCTCCATATCACTCACTGATATGGTGTGGATCTGTGTCCCCACCCAAATTTCATGCTGAATTGAAATCCCCTGTGTTGGAGGTGGGGTCTGCTGTGAGGTGATTGGGTCATTGGGGCGGATTGCTCATGAATGGTTTAGTACCATCCTCTTGGTACTGTCCTCGGGATAGTGAGTGAGTTCTCGAGAGTTCTGGTCGTTTAAAAGTGTGTGGCACCTTCCCCCCGCAATTTTGCTCCTGCTCTAGCCATGTGACATGCTGCTCCCGATTTGCCCTCACCCTTCCTCTGCTGCATGATTGATTATAAGTTTCCTGAGACCTCCTCAGAAGCTGAGCAGATGCCAGCATCATGCTTCCTATACAGCCTGCAGAACCGAGGTCAATAAAACCTCATTGTCAATGCAAGAACAGATGAATACACCCACTTACATGTATGTGACATCCTCACCATTGTGCTATTCCTTCCAAATCAGGAGAGAAAGCCCCAGAGTGAGTGGGATGCCCATATTTTGCATTTTTTCCTGCTTGTGACTGCATTCACACAGAATAATACACTGGCTAAGACTTGAGACTCTTTAATCAGATCACCTGCATTAGAACCACAGTCTGTAGCTAGTACAACCAGATGCTCGGCCTCTCTGAGGTGCCTCCATTTTTCATTTTAAAAAGGGAACAATAGTAGTACCAGCTCATGCAGTTATTATAAGAATTAAATGTGGCAATGCTGTAAGGAGCTTAGCTGCACTTCTTATAAATGCTCAGCACATTGTGTTACTGGTGCCTCTTACCATCTCTTCTTCACCCACCATGATTGGCTAAACTGTAAATTTTGGGGCATGAGTGGAGATAGGTTCTCACTATGTTGCCCAGGCAAGGCTCAAACTCCTCGGTTCAAGTAGTACTCTCACCGCAGCCTCCTGATTAGCAAGAATAAATTGGAATGTTATAGTAGGTTAAACTTGTAATGACATTTAGGTGGGGGTGGGAAACGGAATGCTCTTGGGGTCCCCGTCATAGGTGAAGGCCATGAGATAAATACAATAAGCACCACCTAAAGGAAGCTGAAACTTTATTTTTAATGGTGAGAAACACCACTCACACTCCACACAAATGCCAGGCCTCTCCTTTCTGTACCCTGGTGATCCTAACCCCTCACCACACCTGTTGTTGAACAATGCAAGGGATAGGGGCACTGATCCCCCCACATCCATCCATGGAAGCTGGCAGGGCCAGGTCAATGTCCCTAAAGTGTATATATGCGTATTTATATATATACATACACACATATACATTGACCTTCTCTGTGAAACATTGCAAGGCCAGTCGTCGTGGCCTCCCCTCAGCTCCAATGGCTCCATACACACACCTGCTGCAACCCTCATCACACCACATTGCGGTTATTTAGCGGGTTTTGTCCACAGTCCTTCCCATGGTTGTATGTTTCCTGAGGCCTCCTCAGAAGCTGAGCAGATGCCAGCATCATGCTTCCTATACAGCCTGCAGAACTGACATGTAAGTGGGTGTATTAGTCTGTTCTTGTATTGACAAAAGACGTTTAATTGACCTCAGTTCTACTACTTCCCTACACAGCTAGTAGACTGGACACCTGAAGATTTATAGATTGAAGATACAGCCTTATTCAACTTCAAATCCTCCGGGCCGGGCACAGTGTTTGATGAGTGATACTGCCTTCTGAGTGGGCAAGAAAGAGTCCATGGAAGCTTTAGGAGAGAGGAAGGGACCTATCCCATGATATGGAAAGAGTTTGTGCACCTCTGTGTTCCACAGCTCCAGGCTTCTGCTTGCTTTGCACTCTCCAGCTCCAAATTCTGTAAGACAGAATCTCACTTCACCATCACCCACTCTTCCCCTTCCTGTTTTCCCCCAGGCTGCTAGAAATTGATTCCTTTAAACTGTGTTTTCATTCTATGAGGATCTGAACAGATAGTTTTGTTTTTTTTGTTTGTTTGTTTTTTTTAAAAAAAGACATTTATTCAGCGTCACGATCAGACTATTACATTTAGCAATCAACAGCATGGGTGCAAAAAAAAAAAGAAAAAGAAAAAATCTACATTAAAACCCTTTGTTGGAATGCTTTACACTTTCCACAGAACAGAAACTAAAATAACCTGTTATACAATTAGTCACAAATACAGTCCTCGAGTTTTTTGCCCATACACATGAGTATTTGTCTAAATCATGTCTTCTTTGTAGCAGCTAGGCCCTGCCACCACTGTGCTTGGCTGAGTTCACAAATCTGTTGTAACCTGTAGCTTCCCTGTCACTTATCTGGCTCTCCTCTCCTGCTAGCTTTGTTTCCTAATTAAAATCTTCTGCCACTGCCATAGCTACTGCTGCTACTGGAACCGCCATAGCCACCTTGGTTTCGTGGTTTGGCAAAGTATTGGCTGCCACCACCATAGGGGCCAGAGCTGCTGCCTCCAAAGTTTCCTCCCTTCATGGGTCCAAAATTTGAAGACTGATTGTTGTAACTGCCAAAATCATTGTAGCTTCCACCACCTCCAAAATTGCCTCCATCATTACCATATCCATTATAGCCATCCCCACTGCCACCATATCCACCACCACCATGGCTGCCACCAAAGCCACCACGACCACTGAAATTTCCTCCACGACCAAAGCTGTCATTCCCACCGAAACCACCTCCACAATCACCACCAAAGTTTCCAGAACCACTTCGACCTCTTTGGCTGGATGAAGCACTAGCCATCTCTTGCTTTGACAGGGCTTTCCTAACTTCACAGTTGTGGCCATTCACAGTATGGTATTTCTGAATGACAATCTTATCCACGGAGTCATGGTTGTCAAAGGTTACAAAGGCAAAGCCCCTTTTCTTGCCACTGCCTCTGTCCATCATGATTTCAATCACTTCAATTTTTCCATACTGTTCAAAATAATCTCTTAGGTGATGTTCTTCAGTGTCTTCTTTAATGCCACCAACGAATATATTTTTCACAGTTAAGTGGGCACCTGGTCTTTGAGAATCTTCTCTTGAGACAGCTCTCTTTGGTTCCACAACTCTTCTATCCACTTTGTGTGGTCTTGCATTCATGGCTGCATCCACCTCCTCCACAGTTGCATACGTGACGAACCCAAAGCCCCTGGAGCGCTTGGTGTTTGGATCTCTCATGACCACACAGTATGTGAGCGTTCCCCATTGCTCAAAATGGCTCCTGAGGCTCTCATCGGTTGTTTCAAAGCTCAACCCTCCAATGAAGAGCTTCCTCAGCTGTTCCGGCTCTTCAGGAGACTCTGACTTAGACATGATCGCGGGGAGAAGAGAGACTTTAACGATGCTGCTTCGGTGGCGTCCACGGGCAGAAAAGCTTTGTTTTGTTTTTGAGATAGGATCTTGCTGTGTCACCCAGGCTGGAGTGCAGTGGCACAATCACAGCTCATTGCAGCCTCAACCTCCAAGACTCAAGTGATCCTCCCACCTTAGCCTCCCTAGTAGCTGGGACTATAGCTTGATCCTCCTACCTCAGTGTCCTGAGTAGCTGGGGCTACAGGTGTGCACCACTGCACCTGGCTAATTTTTTTTTTTTTTGGGAAGGAGTCTCGCTCTTGTTGCCCAGGGTGGAGAGCAATGGCACAATCTCAGCTCACTGCAACCTCTGCCTCCCTGGATCAAGTGATTCTCCTGCCTCAGCCTCCCAAGTAGCTAGGATTACAGGTGCCTGCAACCATGCCCAACTAATTTTTTGTATTTTTAGTAGAGACGGGGGTTTCACCGTGTTGGCCAGTCTGGTTTTGAACTCCTGACCTCAGGTAATCCACCCACTTCAGCCTCCCAAAATGCTGGGATTACAGGCATGAGCCACCATGCCCAGCCGATTTTTGTATTTTTTGTACAGTTTTGTATTAAACTGCTAAAAATTTTCACCATGTTGCCCAAGCTGGCCTGCAATGCCCAATCTCAGGTGATCTACCTGCCTTGGCCTCCCAAAGGGTGAGCCTCCACCCCCTGCCTAGTTGTTTTTAAATCATGCTTTTCTGTTCATATTTGCTCCTTTTACACTTGGTGTACAGGTGCAGAAATGATTCTCCAGGTGACTAATGCCTCACTAGGAAGGTGTTGATATGTTGATATACTGTTTGCCATCCACACCTTAGTTAAAAGTCTTAGAATTTCCTGCCTTAACCCAGTGCAATAACATTACAGAATGTTAGTGTGACCTTTCCTTGCTGCAGTACAGCTGCATGTGTATGAAACCATCTTTGCTTTCTTTATTTCCTTGCATCCAACCAACCTCATTCTCACACTTCATAGGCTCGTAATGGAGGCTGCACGTTTCCTGTCAAACTCTCTGGACTCTTGCTTTCCATTATGATGTAAGCAATTCTGATCCAGTATAGCCAAACTTCTGATGTAGTCTTTTCAGAGAAGGGAAAAACCTTCAATTATTTTATTTTGAATTCTATTAAATCAGTGGAAATTAAACGTTTTGTCATTCAAAAACATGATTTTCTCTATCACTGGAAAAAAGTGATATCCCATCCTGATTCCCATGTAACATCTCCAAAAGTGGCATGAATTTCACTGTGCATAGTAAGTTATATACACTTGGTATTATTCTGGCGGGAGGAGAGGTCCTTTGCTGCTGTCTTTATATAAGTGGTTGTGCTTTGCTGCTGGCACCCAGATCCAAAAACCTTCCCGTAATTCTCATATCCCAGTTAAGTATACTGTTCTTGAAAAGAGAAATGAGTTACCTGAGGTCACTTAGCTAGAATAAAGTTGCTTCTGTAATTTACTGTGGATTAAGATTTTCTAGGTTGAGGCCAGGCGTGGTGGCTCACGCCTATAATCCCAGCACTTTGGGAAGCCAAGGCAGGTGGATCACCTGAGGTCAGGAGTTTGAGATCAGCCTGGCCAACATGGTGAAACCCCATCTCTACTAAAAATACAAAACTTACCTGGGCATGGTAGCATGCGCCTATAATCTCAGGTACTTGGGAGACTGAGACAGAAGAATTACTTTAACCAGGAGGTGGAGGTTGCAGTGAGCCAAGATTGTGCCATTACACTCCAGCCTGAGCAACAAGAGTGAAATTCTCTCTCAAAAAAAGATTTTTCTGGGTCAAATGTGGTGGTGTGTGCCTGTAGTCCCAGGTACTCAGGAGGCTGATGTGCTTGAGCCCAGAGGTCAAGGCTTCAGTGAGCTGTGATGGTGCCACTGCACTCTAGCCTGGGTGATAGAGCGAGACTGTCTAAAAAAAAAGATTTGCTTATAGCATGTCTACATTATATGCAGTATTACCACTAGTGCCTAATAAACTTGCTGGATGGGGATTACCTGATCTGTGTAAACTGAAGAAATACGCACAAGAAATGTAGTGTATTTTCATTATATTCACATATGGATATGTACCAGAAGCGTTTATATAGTGAATTTGAGTAAGAATTGAGAAAGCTGGTTATGAATATAGACTTTAGTTTGAAATAATACCAACATCCTGAAATCATGGATTATCTCCAGGGTTTTATCTCTTCCTTCCTGTTCCTTCCAGCCAACCAGCAAAGACGTATAAACCTGTTCTACCTAGAAAGATTAAGAATCCTGTGTAATCTTCAAAGGAGCATAATTAGAAAGGAAAGGCAAGATTAGGAGTACCTTACTTGAGTAAATACATAGCTGTCAAAATTCCCCCAAAGTATATTATATCAAAGCTCTCTAAATTTTCCATAGCTATTATTCAAAACTGACTAAAGTACAAGAAAAAATAAATAAATCTCTTCGAAGCCTCTGGGCCACCTGGATGACAAAGGAGCTCTTTAGGAAACTTGAGCTCACTATGATTTGAAAATACACAGTTAAGAACATGTCAAAAGTTATCATCAGTCCAGCTCAATTCCACAAATCTTTTTTTTGGACATTTCAACACTTCTCTCTGAAGAAATGAACATAAGCTGAGCACAGTGGCTCACACCTGTAGTCCTAGCACTTTGGGAGGCCAACACAGAAAGATCACTTGAGACCAGGAGTTTAAGACCAGCCTGGGCTATAAAGCGAGACCCTGACTCTATAAAAAATTAGCCAGATGTGGTGGTGCACATCTGTAGTCCTAGCTACTTGGGAGGCTGAGCCCAGGAGTTCAGAGTTGCAGTGAGCTGTGATAGCACTATGGCACTCCAGCCTGGGCAACAGAGCAAGACCCCATCTCTAAAATTTTAAAAAGTAAGGGATGAACACAAGACTACTTTGAAAGATAATCAGGATTACTGGATTATGACATGTATAATAGGTACGTTGATTAATTTGATTGTGGTAATCACTTCAAAATGTATACATATATCAAATTATCACATTGTATCCTTGAATATACAAATTTTGTCAATTATACCTCAATAAAGCTGGAAAAAATTACTTTTTTTATTAATAATGTAAGCAAACTAACAAAGATCATCAACTACTTTTTGTTTCTAAGAATACAATGGAAAAATGCCATTCATGACAAAAGTAGAAAAATCTGATTTTATAGTCCATTTGGATATAAGAATTTTCTACATGATTAAATTGAGTCATTTTTTTCAGAAAACTGTTGTGAAATATACATGGTGCTTTAAAAGAAGAGAAGGAATTTCAACCCTTTCCGTGATTGTCTTAACACAGGGTCTTTTGTAGATGAGGTAATCACAACATAGAAAACTCAGAGCTCAGTTATTTATTCAACAAGTATTTTTTGTTGGCCTATGTAACAAACACTGATAGATTCTGAAAGCTGAATAAGACAGCAAAACCCCTACGCTTTAGTAGGGCTTTGTCCCGCTAATAAAAGGACTCTGACAAACCAATAACACATGATTATACAGATGCTAATAAGGGAGATTAACAAAATTATGAGTAATAAGTGGGATAGAAGTTACATCGATGGCCTTTCATACACACATTTCCCAATATTTACATTCTAGTAAGGTCCTCTCCTACTTTGACTCTGAACTTGGCCACGTGACTTGCTTTGGCCACTATAACAGTAGAAGAATGATGTAAGCACAGGCTTCAAAAGCAGTTGCACAGGAGTTGGGAAGGGGATCGTGAAAAGCTTATTTAAGGTGACGTGGTCAGGAAAGACATCTCCAAGAAAGTGATAGGTAAGCTAACATCTAAAGAATGTTGGCCTTGAGGTCAGGAATTTAAAAAGTGAGGCAAGTTATGATGATGAGAAAAAAGAGACTGGGCAAGGTGCAGTGGCTCATGCCTGTAATCCTAGCACTCTGGTAGGAAGAGGCAGGCAGATGGCTTGAGCCCAGGTGTTCGAAAGCAGCCTGGGCAACATGGTAAGATCTCTACAAAAAATTAGCCAGGTCTGGGGTCACATGCCTGTAATCCCAGCTACCCAGGAGGTTAAGGAGGGAGGATCACCTGATGTTCAAGAAGTTGAGGCTCCAATGTGGCCATGATCATACCAGCACACTCTAGCCTGGGTGACAGAGCAAGATCCTGTCTCAAGAAAAAAAGAAAAGGAAGAATCAGGGCAGGTTAAGGCCTGAGGACCAGGGAATCAAGGCTTGAAACACTATGGACCCAGCAGATGTCAATGGCAAACTTTTTGCATAATTTCTGCTTGAACTACTCTTATCCAGATACCACAATAAAACAAAAGAAGTTCTAAAGATCCAATAATTTTCTGTACAGACTCTCCACTTTATATAGAAATGTAGAAAAATCACTTAGTTAAAAATCAGCAACAACTTTAAAGAGGGCCAGACAGCTTCCATTGTTGTGTCCTCAGAAGCCCTGGGTTGTCATGTTAAAGCCAGCTAACCTGCTGAAGAGGTCACATGGAGACAGTGTTGTGCCTTCAATATTTACTATACTGAGAGGCCTTATGTGGGAAGAAAGGACCAGAGACACCAGAGAGAGAAGAGCCAATCATCTCAATATCCCATCTGAGTTTAGCTCCACCTGCCCCACCAATAAATGCAGCCATTTGACAGACCACTGGCAAGAAGAGCAGAGGATATGCTCAGCTGAGCCCCATAGCAAATAAAAGAGGGATTATTTTAAACCACTAAGGTTAGGATGATTGGTATGCAGTAATAAAAAATCTCATCCTGCCTCCTGCCTTCTTTTTTTTGAGATGGAGTCTCACTCTGTTACTCAGGCTGGAGTGCAGTGGCACAATCTCGGCTCACTGAAACCTCTGCCTCTTGGTTCAAGCAATTCTCCTGTGTCAGCCTCTCAAGTAGCTGGGATTACAGGCACACTCCATCATGCCTGGCTACTTTTTGTATTTTCAGTAGAGACAGGGTTTCACCATGTTGGCCACTCCTGACCTCAAGTGATCCGCTTGCGTTGGATCCCAACGTGCTAGGATTACAGGCATGAGCCATCGTGCCCGGCCCCATCCCTTCTTCTTAAATGGAGGTGTTTTTTGTCCTCCAGAGGATATTTAGCAATTTCTAGAGTCAATTTTGATTTCACACTCTGGGGGAGTGATGCTGGCATCTAGTGGGTGGAGGCCAAGCGTGCTGCTAAACATCCTGCAATGCACAGAATGAAGGACTATCTGGCCCAAAATGTCAAGAGCAAATTTCGAGAGACTCTGACCTAAACAAAGGATTTTGATGGGTGACTGTCAGTCTTCCTCGGAGGTTATGCCAATGTGTTTTCCCAAGAGCACTATATGACAATATCTATTTTCCTATTGCCTCACCTGCAGTAAATATAACCAGATATATACATATATAGACATAAATATAGATCAACATCTATCTTTGTCATAGGAAAAAGTGATATAATAACTTCAACATGTGTTTCTCCAGTAATAATTGAGGGTGAGTGTCTCTTTACATTTATAAGAGTCATTTGTAGTTCCTTATCTGTGACCTATCTGTTCATATTCTTTGTTCATTTTTCTACATAGCTGTTTTTTTTCTCATTCATTTGCAAAAGCTCTGTATGTATCAAGAAAATTAATCAGCCAGGCGTCGTGGCTGACACCTGTAATCCCAGCACTTTGGGAGGCCAAGGTGGGCAAATCATTTGAGGTCAGGAGTTTGAGACTAACCCGGCCAACATGGTGAAATCCTGTCTCTACTAAACATACAAAAATTAGCTGGACATGGTGGTACATGCCTATAATCCCAGCTACTCGGGAGGCTGTGGCAGGATAATCACTTGAACCCTGGAGGCGGAGGCTGCAGTGAGCAGAGATCGCACCACTGCACTCCAGCCTGAGCGACGAGCAAGACTCAGTCTCAAAAAAAAAAAAAAAAATTATCCCTTTGTTTATGATTTGAGTTGAAACTATGCTTTCCCTGTTTAGCAGACAAATTAGGGTGGTAAATAGCTAAAATCCAAACTATACCTAGTAAACCACATTTAAGTGAAAAGATATGTTTGTAAGCTGTAACTTGAACCAGTGAAAGAAACAAACAGATGATGTGTTGAGAAAAATATATTAATATTTGCTGCCAAGAACCAAAACACTGAGATATAAAGAGAGCCAGAACATGTGAGGAGGGGGCTAAATGGACTGGGTGCTGCAAACAGGGAACAAGGAAGCCCCCTTTGAGGCCAGATATGAAGACTGTGAATCTGAGAGACTGAATTTCAAACTGCAGGTAATTATTTAAAATAGTAGCTGATACATACCATTTGTCAAAGAGGAGACTCCAAGTTCAGGCTTTAAGTTACCTTTTACCTTTGGAACACTTGACTCTTCTCCCTCATTCAGCTCCTTGTAGTATAAAAGTAACTACCAGGCCTGGTAGTTATACACCTGTTGGCTATAATTATCCTCATTTCATAGATAAGAAAACAAGAGTCTCAGAGAAAGTAGATAAGGCCTATTTTCTTTCATCACCTTTTAATCATCTGCAATATTAAAGAAAATACTACCTTTACAAGAAAAGCCTGGCGAAAAAAATCTTATTCACACAGAACACTGGAAAACCATCTTCAAATATATGAAGAGCTATTGTGGGGAGCAGAAATTAGCCTTCTCTGTTGCCTCAGAGGGCAGAAGTGATAGCAGTAGGCAGAAGATCAGTCTATGCAGAATACAGTTCAGTCTTTTGAAGAGTTTGCCGTTTTCATTTCCCATTGTATCCCCACTGTACATCTCAGTGCTTGACACACAGATCTCAGTTCTCACTAGATAGATATTCATTGAATAAATAAATGAATAAAGCCAATTATAAGAGCCATCCAAAATGAAACAGGCTGCCTCGGGAGCACTCCATCCTGGCCGTGTTCGAGAAGAGGCTAAGCCAAGCATCTGATGGAGGGTTCGAATAAATGCATATTGAATTTAATTGTTTTTTTTCTGAGTCTTCAGGAAGAAAAGTGACCCTAGTGAAAATGCAGGCCAGATGTGATGGCTCATGCCTGTAATCCTAGTGCTTTGGGAGACCAAGGCAGGAGGATTCCTTGAGCCCAGGAGTTGGAAAC